CCATAGTGCTCTGAAGGAGGAGGTAATTGCCCCCATGAAAGAACATCATCAATGAGGCGGTAAGTGAAGGCGTATCGCTGAGCAGCTTGGGGATCATGTTGACAAATGTCATATATAAATTATAAATACACATAAATAGATTTATAACAAAATATGGTTAATGACAGTACATTCTGAGACGGGGGCGAGGAGCGAGGAGAGTGGCGCTAGCGCCGTGCGGTCAGCGCTTCAGGGGTGCCTGCACCTGCGCCATAGCCAGCCTCATGTCCGCGTGCCCACGCACGGTCACCAACGTGCACAGTGCCTAGAGCACATGCGCGAAGGCCCATCGCGCGCCCGCGCGCGCCCGTGTCTCATTGTCCACCGAGAGTGAACGTGTAGCTGTGACATCAGCGTAGCACGGCTCCATCCCACAATTTTTGACGAGGGCAAAGCGCCCTGACGAGAGCGTCCAGCAAAGGACGTTTCCATCATTTTTGAGTGTCAACACCCAGAACTGAAGACGAGCACTCCAAAATCCGCGATAAGGAAGGCCACGACGTCTGTACTAACTCCGATCACTTCCTCTTTTGATCGTCCATTTCACTCCCCTCCCTCCACAATCCGTTCTGATCTCCCTCCCTGACCATCCCGATCCCACTCCATCACGATCCCGTTCCCATCCCGTTCCATCCCCATCCAGATCCCGTTCCCATCCCGAGCCCTTTCCATCCCCATCCCGATCCCGTTCCCATCCTGATCCCTTTCCATCTCCATCCAGATCCCGTTCCCATCCCGAGCCTGTTCCATCCCTGTTCAGATCCCTTTCCCATCCCGATACCGTTCACATCCCGTTCCCATTCTGATCCATTACCAGCCCGATCCTGATCCCGTTCCCATTCTGATTCGTTCTCATTCAGAGCTCGATCCCGTTCCCATTCTGGTCCATCCCCATCCCGACCCCGTGCCATCCCCACCCAGATCCCGTTCCACTCCCAGCCCGATCCCTTTCAGTGTCCGTTCCGATCTTACTCCGCTCCCGTTCCTGCTCCGATCCCGTTCCTGCTCCGATCCCGTTCCTGCTCCGATCCCATACCGATCCCGTTTCCGCTCCCATCCCGATCCCACTCCGCTCCCACCCTGCTCCCATTCCGACCCCAGTCCGCCCCACCCGACCCCACCCGATCCCATTCTGACCTCACTCCACCCCCCACGTGCTCTCTTCCCGTTCCAACTCTGACTCCATCCGATCCCTTCTGTTCCCGCTCCGACCCCACCTGACTCCGACCCTACCCGAGCCCATTCCTTTCCCTCCCACACCGCCCGATCCCATCCCGATCTCTTCGGAGCCCTCTCCGAACCTTCAGCCACCCGACCCCATTCCGACTCCATTCCACCTTCCCACACCCGATCTCATCCCGTTCCTACTCCGCTAATCATCCCTCCCACACTCGCTAAAAACCTTGCGCCCCCTAACCGTTTCCCCGCCGGGTACTAATCTTGGTCCACACCTCCACTTTCCCTTCCCTCGTTCCTCCCCACCTCCTCTTTTCGTTTGCCTTCTCTTATCTGAGTCCCCCTTCCACGTGTTGCCCCACTTTCTTTCTCCTATAGCTACCTCCTCCTTGATTCCCCTTTCCCTGGGTCTCTCTACATCCTCTCTAGACCGCCATTTTTTCAACAGCCCTCAGTCAGTCACGTATACTAGAGCCGGCTCGATTCCTATTGCCTATTGCCTTTAGAAAAATAGAGGTATTGAAGAAGTGGTTGGCTTAACCAAGGGCGTAGAGATGGCCACCTCGTCTCAAAACACTGCTACCTTGGATTAGAACCCTCTGGAAAAACTGGTCAAGGTGATTGGCAACAAAGCACTTAAATTCATTGAGAAAACAAGAGTCCAGGGGATTCAAACCACTGAAATGCAAAGAACTGATGGCAAGGATGAAGAGGTCATTGTTTGGAAATACCCAGAGGAAAAGGTGGCTGAGCTGGATGATTTGCACGAAAGGCATGGAGTGGTGTTTAACTTTGCACGCCACGGGGCAGATCTTCAGCTGACAGAGAAGAGAAAATGGGTCATAGATACTATCAGAAAGGAACCGAGACTCGAACAAATTGGAGAAGCCTTCACCTTGCAAAATCTGGGTCACAATAACATTATGGCACTGTTCATTCATGAAGATCACGCACGGATTGCAGCCGAGATGCAGTCTAGAAACTGCAACGGATCAGTGTGCACTATCACAAAATGGAAGAAACTTACTGTACAGAGACAAAACCCTGTCTTCATAGTATCGTACAGACAGACTCTGCTAAAAGAGAACTTATGGGTCCGGTTCGACAATATTCAGCCGGGTTTCCATGGATTGCTGGTGGACAGACTGGAGAGACAGTACACAGCAAACAAGATCCTCAAATGGATCTTACCGACCCCAAAATTCCTGGCTCCGCACTGCGGGTCTATGACAGTTGTGTTAGAGGTTAAGATAGACGACCCCTCGGTTTTCCCACCAACATGGAAATTGCAGATTGAGAACAGAGTAGTGGAAGTGAGGGTGTCGACCAAGACCTCCCCGATCTGCTTCAGAAGCAGGAAGCGGGGCCACATGGGAACAGGCCCCAACTGTCCGAAGTTCCCAAAACAGTCAAAAGAGAAGAAACTTTTGCCCAATATGCTAGTGGAAGTGGAAGATGCTCCGGGTACATGGTTCGTCGCAGACTCCAACTATGATGGGTGGGTCTTCGACGACAACCTGAATGAGCCAGATTGGGTATGGCATTATGCCGACCAGGAACCGACAGTTAAAAAACCCAACATTTTCCCCCCAACGGATAGCAGATGGCAGAAAAAAGCGATCGGGAAAATAACAGGGAATCCAACGAAAATCAACTTTAATCCCCTCATTGACTCACGGGTAATTAGGGAGGAGAAAGCATAGGAAAACTTGCTATGGGATTTGGACGCAATAAGGGAGCAAACCGAAACGGTGGACCAGAAGGGGGCAGTAAAGAATCAGAGGGATCATCCATAGCGGGGAAGTTGCGTCCCAACGCTCCATGCGGTGGCTCAGGGACTACATAGAGAAGGCTAAAAGGGGAAGAGAGCACGCCTTTGACATTCGTGTAGCTTGCTTAAAACACGCAGAGAGGTCCCCGAGAAATGGCAAGAAATGTAGCATTGCCGACATAGAGAACTCTAGTAACCAATACGAATTGCTTCGGAAGGAGAAAGCGGAAGAGTTTTCTGAATACGCAGCTTTCAGGTACGCAGAAAAGAAGAGGCCGAGGGATCAGGGGGTGACAGACAAAGATAAGACTATCCCCAACATTAAAGACGACTTTCAGGATCTGCGCCCAAAGAAATGGAAGACCGGAAAGAATAATAAAAAGAAGGGTCAAAATGCGGAACAAGTAGACACGGAAGAAGAATCCGAACGTTCCCTTTTGGAGAAAGAGGCAGCAGTGGTCGTGGCCCAGACATAGAAATTGCAGAGATGGAACACGGAATACACACCTAAGTTCATCTCCATTGCACACATAGCTAATGGAGATACTCCACTGGTGGTGGACTCAGCGAACTGCGCTCGTTTGATGCTGTTGAACATCCGGCCTTTGATAGCTGCCAGATACGTTAGAAAAGTTGATGAGTGGCAGATAGCCATTGATGTGTCCTTCAAAATCCCGATGTTCGTCGAAGGCCAGAATGTGGTAAACATCCTTCAAGAGAAGGTGACTGCGGAAAGCCCTTGCGACATATTCAAGACTGTTCCGCCGGAATCGGACCAGGATGACATCCTCTCCCAAGATGGTCAAGACGATCAGCTGACACGAGGAACGGAGTCCAGGAGACACTCTCCCCGAGCGTTCTCACCCTTGATAGCTAAGATGCCTCAAAAGACGCAGCTGAAGACCGGAATGATTTGGAAACTGTGGAAAACAGTGACAATTGTTCCTTACAACATATTGGCAGGATTGGGTGTCTCAACGGAACTAGTGGCAGCGTCGGTGGCCCACCTTGCTTCCATGGGGATGCTGGATGGGGATGACGACCTGGATGCAAGAGCGTATGTCACAAACTGGGACAGATTCTATAGAAGCGATGAGTCGGAAGGCCAGCCGGAACCATGGGACGGGGACGACGAGAAGGAAGGCGAGGGGCTGAGCCTAAATTCGGGGAAGGATATGAGCGAAAACGAAGGGCTAGACAAGATAGACGATCCCGACGAAAAGCCGGTTACAACAATGGGGCATGACACGTTGGGGGTCGATTCAGGGGACACGGCGGTGGGGATGGACACGAGCGGGTTTCCCCCCTCCTAGATTCCCTGTCCCAACTATACGATGGCTGCGACTTGCTTTGAACAGCGGCAAAGATGGAGGATTTCAAAAGAGTGGCCAATGTGGGGGCAGATCGTGGGGCCTGGAAGAATCAAGGGATAGTTAATAGAAGCTGGAACATCAACGGGCTCGACAATATTATAGACAAAGAAGACAAATTGAACGACCTCATCAGAGGTGTTGCAGTTCACAACAAGAGAGTTGCTGATATTATATTATTACAAGAAACTCATCTAACCCTCTCAATTAAACATAACAGAATTCGAACTTTCTTAGCAAGGAAGTTGGGAAGCTTTAAAGACGAAATATGGTCGGCAGACAGCGTATCGAGCATGAAAGGGACAGTCATCCCGGTGCCCAGATCTTCTCGAGTTCACACGGCAGGATCAGTCATAGGAAAGGAAGCGAACGCAAATGACGGAAGGTGGTGCCGTATGCACTTTAGGTGGAAAGATGAAGATTTTGTATTGTTCAATGTATACGCACCAAACGATCCGTCAGAAAGGATAACTTTTCTAGATAACTTAGGCCGACCGATCCCTCCTTTATCATCATGTATCTTAGTGGACGACTGGAATGCCACTACAGACCCCTCCACGGACCGGATTTCGCGGTCATCAACATCCATAATACACAAGAGGCGATACCCATCCAAAAGTTATTGGTGGATCACAACCTGGTTGAGCCCTACAAAACCCTACACCCCACCAAGAGAGCCTTCACTCTTGTCAAGAAATATCATGCACACCACACCGCCTTCTCATTCATAGACTACTTCCTGGTGCCAGAGACGTTGATGGGGGCAGTCAAGGACGCAAAAATTCTACCCCTGGCACCATACTCGGGCCTGGACCACAAGCCGATTGAACTCACAATTTGTTTTGAGCAATTTGTAAGGAAAGGAGCCAGTTTTCATAAACTGAATAACTCTCTCCTGTTGAGTCAGACCTTCCAGGGAGGGGTTTACGACTGTTGGCAGAATCAGAGAGATGTGCGCTTAACCATACACGGTCGATGGACATGGTTCCAAGAGAGCTACTCCAGCTTGTCGAAGACAATGGCTAAGATCTCAAGGAAGCTAGCTACTATAAGAAAACAAAGAAGACAAGCTCTCCTGTCAACTTTAAAGATCACTGAGACCAACCTGGTAGACAATCCCTGGTCCTCGTTGTACACTGACATCTTCGAGAAAACACTGGCCATGTGGCGATGGTGGGACCTAAAAGGACTGCAAATAAGAGCCAGAATGAACGAATATGAGCGAAGCGAATCAATGTCAAAACATTTCTTCGCCCAAATTAAAGCCAACTCAAGGGCTAGCACTATAGAGAGACTGAAAACCCTCACAGACCCTGAAAAGACAGTTTCAGATAGCGAGGGAATGTTTAGTATAGCAAAATATTTCTATCAAGAACTCTATCAGACCAAAACCTCGACGCCTACTCCACTCGACACAAGGGAAGCAAGACAAAGGATGTTACAATACCTTGAGCAAACGATAACATCTGAGCAAACGGAAGACCTAGATAAACCTCTTACTTCGGAAGAACTATATCAGGCACTCAAAAGACTGAATAATGACAAATCACCAGGGATTGATAGTTTAACGAAAGAATTCTGGGAGAAATTTTGACCACTCTTAGGGGGCGACTTGCTTAATTTCCACAACGACAGTTGGGCCAAAGGGGGGTTAGGAGAGCTTCTAAGCAGTAGTGTTGTTACCCTGTTGTATAAGAAGGGAGACAAGGAGCACATCAGGAACTACAGGCCCATCTCGCTCCTAACACTGCCATACAATATCCTGGCCAAAGCTCTCTCTGCTCGAATAATGAAACTCACGGATAAGTGCTGCCATATTGACCAAACAGGCTTCATTCCTGGGAGGTACATTCTGGATAACGTATTGACCCTCAATGAAGCAACAAACAAGGTAAGAGAAAAGAGGATAAACACAACTATCCTCTTTTACTTTGAAAAGGCGTATGATCAAGTAAACTGGGCCTTCTTGAACGCAAGCATGGAAAAGATGGGAGTGGGACCGAACTTCAGGAAATGGGTACGCATTCTGTATAACGATGCCACAGGTTGTGTCCAAGTAAATGGCCTGTTGTCAGAAGGTTATCCAATTTCCGTGTCGGTCCGTCAAGGGGACCCGTTAGCTCCCTCAAATTTTTTGTTTGTAATGGAAGCTATTGCATCATCCTTACGTAAAGACCCTTCCATTCATAGACTCCCGGAAATCAATGTGGGATCAGCCCACCACATGAACTTCCCGACAATAATCATGTTTGTAGACGACCTTACGGTCCTGATCAAAGCTTCAGACTCATCCTTCAGAACTCTAGCTAGAGCGATGGAAGCATTCAGATTGGCCTCAGAGATGAAGATTAACTGGAAAAAGACGGTAGGATGGTGGCTATCAGATGAGGATCCTCCTCTTTTGCAGGGCCCTGAGGCGGCCATGTCTTGGGAAACCTCGGATAATCCTATCTGATACCTTGGCATACTTATGACAAAGGAAGGTATGGCTCCACAGATGGCTCAAAATGTCTTGGCCAAACAGATTAACAAGCTAGGGAGATGGGGGAACACTTTTACTGCACTAATCGGGAGGGCCCTAGTTATCAATTCTTCGGTGTTCTCTATGATGTGGTATATAGCCTCCATATGGACAATACCGGACAGCTCAATTAAGGATCTTAATCGTAAAGCACGGTCCTATTTATGGTCAGGTGACCCGAATAAAGAGAACTGTATACCCAAGATTGCATGGCATTACATCACGAGAAAGCCATTGAATGGGGGTCTAGGAATTATAGACCCTAAGCAAGAAACAAAAGCCCTTCAAGCCAAGTGGATAATCAAACTCCTGATGAARCCGGATAACGCGTGGAACAAACTAGCWTTAGATAGCATCAGAGCGCTGGSTCCTGTAGCCTCGCCAGRTGACATGACGGGACTGTTTTGGGTAATGACTAAGAAATGGAACCTGAGAACGTGGCGSAGAAATCYAAGAAGWGGGGTCGGTACMGAYRGAGCCAGACCTCCCACCCCATGCTGGATGGCGCTGCTTCGGATATGGAGGGAAATCCTGCCAAAAAAGATCAACAGACCACGGTCCAAAGATGAGGTTCTGAGGCAACCGCTGTTCGGCAACCAATGGGTGACGAATGAAGGGGACGATCCTCTTCAGCTGGAACACCAATGRTTATCATGGGTCAAAAATGGGGTATGGAAKGTCTGCSACTTATGGAAGGAAGAAACAAAAGAATGGATAACTGAACAGGAGCTCAACATACGACTGAAAGGGTGTCATAGACGGGGACTARACCTGYTGTACATTATTARCCTYATSCCACAAGACTGGAAAGATCTCTTGAACGAAGCTTCGCCTTGGAAACCCAGTGAATGGGGAGTGAAGGTGCAAGAAACAACTCCCTCAAGGGCCTTTCAATTTTCCCACATGCAGCAGGGGTCAAGCACTAGGGCGATGTTCTCCTCCTTCCCGATTTCCCCCTCCAACCATGGTATGGCGACCATAATAAATAGAGAGGTCGAATCAACAGTCATGGATTGCTTTGTACTCAGAAAAGTAAGAGTATTAGGGTCTTGGCCAAAACTACTCTGCAGACCAGACACAGCGGTTCGTAATTTGGAACTCGACCCGAAGGAATGGGCTTGGACACCTGACAGAAAAAGGAACATCAAGGTCAATACCCCTCATCCACGAGTACACAGTTAAACTGGGCTATAAGCTCCTCCTAAGAACAAAAGATCAAGACCCTGTAATTAAGAGCAGATGGCAGAAGTTGCTAGGACAAGAAGCCGACAAGATCCCTCAGATGAGTCAGATCCCATGGAAGAATTTTAAATCCATCAGACCCATAAAAATCAGGAGTTTGCAATGGCTCATCACCTATGCCGCCCTTCCGGTGAATCAATGGTTACATATTAGACGACAAAGAAACGATCCCAACAGCACGGACCTATGCACAGTTTGCACAGAAGGGGCTCAAGAGGATATAATACATTGCCTGGTTAATTGTAGTGAGGCGACGGAATACTGGGTGAGGGCTTCAGCTCTTTGGAACTCCCTATTTCCCTCCCCTTTCCCCAAACACCCCATCCAAGTTCTCCTCTGGACTAACATCCCCGATCAATGTCAGAAGACAGAGAGGTTGTGGTTCGGCCTGATCAGAAAGGCGACGTTGTGGGTCATTTGGAAGGAGAGATGCTGCAGAACCATTGTAAGGACTTTCCAACTCAAGGGAGAAGGTATGGGCTGAGACGAGGTCTATGATACAAGCAGAAATTCACTGCAAGTGGCAGAGAACGAGTCAATTGATGCCTGAGGATGAGGATCAGCGGAAAAAGATCAGAATGGACTTTATCAGACTAAGGCTTTTAAATGGCAAGGTGGCTGAGCTACGGGATAACGTTGGAAGGACTGGCACAACTCGGACTCAGACCGGAGAAGTCCGCTCTCGCTGTCAGCAGGAAGACAGACTACCTTGTGTGATGTGTGATCTGAAGGGAGAACACAAGAACGGGTATGGGTCACAGCTGGCACAAGGACGTCTCTATGTAGAGAACGAGAGGGGCGGTATAAGGCAGGCTTGAAAAGGGCAAGGTGGTGGGGATATGGGTCAACCATATACGTGGAAGGTCGGGTTCATCTCAAGTTCAGGTCGGAGCAGACGGCCTCTTGTATTAACGGATGGACAGAATACCTGATCAGTTATATAATCGGAAGGGTGAAGACAAGCGTGGCCATGGACCATAGGACGTACCTTTAGTACCCCAGCCAGCAGAAGTACTAGCTTCATCACAGGTCACATAATGTTGGAGGGCCTAATCCGATATTGAATCTTCAGTGGCCTCTTTTACCTTTCTTGCTTTTTCTTATTTATCTGACAGGTCATGCAGTTGACCTGAGAGGAAAGGAGGAAGTAAGGCAAGCAATCCTCCACGATGTTGGAGTAATCAATGTTGGTCAGGGATCCTTCGGCCGGACGGAAGGAAGCGTGAGTGGGTTTCATGATGTAATCTTTTATTCTGACTTGCCGGTGGAATAGGAACCGGACTGATGCTCCCCAGAATGGAAATGGAGCCGGGGGCATAAGGACCTGTTTTATTTATTAAAAAAAAAAAGATATATGCAATGAACCCAAATCGTGAAGAAGTTGTCAACAATGCAAGCCCAGATAAATGTCCATCAGCTGATGATTACAAAATCGTACCAGACAGAATGAGGTGAGGTAATCATACACAGACGAAGAGAGAGGAGGGAGATGAGACAAAGGAGAGGAAGTACAATGCCCACTCCTGCTTCAGGCTTCCTCCTCACTACCACCTCAATAATCAATAGTCTGAACGAGTATCCGAAATAGCCTCAATGTGCCACGTGGCACGTCTAATCAGTCCCACATCAGCAATGGAGCAATGTCGACATGAAAACAACCAGGTATGTATCACGAACTCTACACAGTCCTGATCTCCTCCTGAAGTGACGACGAACAGAACAGCAATGCCGATTACGTAGTCCCAGCCATAGAACACATGGCAGCAGCCACATCAGCGATAGCGCATGGCAGCTGCCACGTCAGCATCCCAAGAAGACAGGAGCAAGCCGGCCACCATGCCGGACTAGCAGCGCCTCGCCAAGTCACAAATGTCAGCGTCGCAGCGACGAGCCAGCGTTGAAGTCAACGCGTGAAGTCAGCATCAACGCAAGACAGAATGAATGTCAAAGCCAGGAAGTCAGTTCTTATGTAGTGTTGACGCGGGGTCTGGACCCCGGATGCTGTATCCCTCGGCCGTCCAGATCTCAATGAGAATGAGGGCTCAGATTGGCCTGAAACCAAATTCCCTCCGGCCTGGATGCTGTCTGGGTACCTGCGCACAACAAGTGAGCGTATCCAGCCAAGGGCCTGGGTGCGGTACCTTTGACTCTACAGTTGACTTTGACTCTTGAATTTCCTGTGTGCAGCGTTTGGTCACACAGCCACACTTGACAGACTCAGGCCTGGGCGTGTCTTGGTCACACAGCCCAGCGCAGACCTACTCAGGTCTGCGTGGCCTGGAGCTGAGTTTTGGGCCCCAGGCTACTTCTGAACAGGGTTATTACATATATGACAAAATATAATTTGTGCAAGTGTGCCACTTCGACGCCAGACGGGTGTCTGGGCACTTGGCACTTAACCACACAAACGTGCCCAACCTTGCATCTTCTATTATATTGCCTATCTATACCCTCTTCTGTTTGATCGATGGTTTGTGATGATCTGTGGATGCAACGAGAGAGAGTTTGAGGTTTTTTGAAAGACACACAACCTCCTTGTAGCGGTCCCCCTGAGGCCCGTCAGCAAGGCCGGACCAGTTTCAGGTTGTCGGCCTGATCCTAGTCGGGTACCATGGGTTTTCCCAGTACCTGGGCCTAGGCCGGTATATCACTTTGGCCTAGGCCCAGGTCGGGGGCTTTTCGGTTGTTCGATCCTTTGGTTCATTCATTCACTCAGACGAGCGCTCTTTCTCTCTCTCTCTCTCTCTCTCTCTCTCTCTCTCTCTCTCTCTCTCTCTCTCTCTCTCTCTCTCTCTCTCTCTCTCTCTCTCAACATCTTTGCACGTGCCCCCTGCACGTGCGTCACATTGGTATCGGAGCGGAGTCTCGACCTCTGCTCCCTCCCGCCCCCCCCTTTCTCGCTATCCTGCCATCACGGATAGCTATGTCCAAGCCCGTTTCTGCAACTCCACCTGGTCCGTCAACACGACCAGATACGTTTGTCATCCAAGCTGGGCCCTTTCTCCTCGGCGATCTCCAAGACGGTACTGCTCCAGCTGCTGCGGCTCTCCTACTGACTGCTGACGCGGTGCTGCTCCACCGCCTGTCGCTCCTACCGATTGAATGACCTGGTGAAGTGTCTGGATTGTGGTGAGCTCGGCAGTTTGCAGCTGGCAGCGCTGTGAGAAGTTCATCGAACCTTATCATTTAGAGGACGGGCGACCTTCTGGGGAAGAGACCTTCTGGTGAACGAGTCTGGGTAAAATCATCTGAGTTGGGCCAGGAGTTGGGAATTTCCCGCAAACTGATGCCACAGTACTTTGGGCCTTGGGAGATTCTGGACATAGTAGGAGATCAACCCGATGGCCCATCATATGTGATTCGCATACCTGGTCACCTCCGTACACAGTGCTACATACCCTGTTTTCCATGCATCCAAGTTGGCACCCTTCGCTGAAACTGAGCAGTTTCCCTCAAGAAAATCTATGCTGCCCCCAACCATGGACGGACATGTGGACATTGACGACATCCTCGAGCACAAGCTCATGCCTGTGCCCAAGCCTCCAGGCAGGGGACACCCTCCGAAACCTCACATGCAGTATCGAGTGTGGTTCAGACACCATACGGATCCTAAAGAAGATCGGTGGTTCACAAGAGAAGAGCTAATGAAGACTGCTCCCCAAATGATCTCAAGCTATGAACGAAATTTGAAAGGGAAGCAGCCTGCTGTGTAACGACTTCTCAGAGGACTATCGAAGAAAAGGAGGAGTGAGTGTGACGTTTTATGCCTCGGCATAGGGCCCTGCAGCAGGTGCGTGCCTGCCCTAAGTGAAGACGGGCCCCCTGAATCTCAATGCGCCCTGAACTCGTCAATTTTTGCAAATCTTGGTCGGCGCCAGACAGTTGCCACACGCCACTTGGTTACAATCTGCCTTGCTCGTGAGAATCCAAAATATTCATGAGCCTTCCAGGCTCTTCCAGCAAAATGGTCGAAGCAGGGAGCATCGCACGTTTGTGCCTGGGTGCCTGGGCATGCCAAACCAATTCGGTCCCAGGCCACTGTCTGAATCGGGCCTGGGCGCAGACACTTTGGCCGAGACTGAAGCTACTGGAAACTCGGTCTCACGTGGGGAGGCAAAGGCAAGCGCCCGCCTCTTTCCATATAGGAAAGGGCAGGGCGCAGGGCTGGTATTTGGGCACTTGCACTTGCGAGCGGCAGCGCTGCTGGAACATAGACTCGCGGGCTGCTTGCTGCGCTAGCGCGAGGTGCAGGCGTGCGCGTGCATCGAGAGGATACAAGGCGCTGCTGAGGGCAGCGCCATAGCCCAGCCTTCATAGCCAGGATGGGGTTTGGACACAGTCAGCGGGTGGTGGTGGTCTTTGTGTATGGGAAGGAAGACGTGGGTGAGAGAGAGAGAGAGATGAGGTTGATGATGTGAGGGCACGTACCTGGTCTTGGCGATGGTCTACAAGGTCGACATCTTCATGCACTTCGGTTGTTGCTGCTGACAACGGAATGCATTGTCAATTCGTAGGCTGCTAGTAGCTGTGCAGAAGTAGTCTGGGCGCTGAGCGCCACATAGGAGGAAGGGCTCTGGGTTATGCTCTCATTGACATTCGGACTCGGTGCTTTGGTTCTCCGTTGGTGGAATATCAGTGCATTTCTGCTTTCTGGACAGTGTTGGACTTTCTGGCTTTCTGGAATTCTGTCATTTTGCTGTCGCTCATTTTCCTTGCACATACTTCATCTTTTATCCCTCCTAGTTTTTTTTTTTTTTAATAATCCCTCGATTCCCTCTCTTGAGAAATAGGCCGATTTTCAGGTGATCTGCAAAGTTCTTTAGGTGGGACTATAGTAGTACTATGTCTGTGTATTTTTATAATTTTTTATTTTTATTTTTTATTTTTTGGGTCTTATTCTCTTTGAGTCCGATGATGATGTCGTTTAGCTTTTTGTTTGCTGAGCTGATATTGCCCAAACCATTCACATTCCAGCTCCGGATGACCAGTCCATTCGTTCTCCAATCATTTGAGGGTCCTTGTGAGTTGGATTTATTACAGATCCTATCCATCTTGCATTATGCAGACCCATCATCAGAGCTGTTGCTTCTCAGAGGATCAGTTTGGGGGGAAGGGGGGGTGAGCTCTGGTCCTCTTCTGCTGAACTGCCTGGTGGGTATGTGTCTGTTTCTCCTACCATTGAGTCCCCTACCTTGGACTCCGCTAAGCTGCTGTCTTGAGAGGCCATTGTTCCTTGCTCCCCTTCTTCTCTTTCTAACTTGTGCATGTCCCATTCCTCCATTTCATCATCGGCGGCAGCGTCCTCCTCATTCCACTCCACATGGACAGCATTGCCTCCAGATTCCCCCGATGGTGCGTTCTCGGATGATGGACGCTAGGGAGGGTGCAATCAGCTCTGCTGAGACACCCTGGCCTGCAAGTACACTGTAAGGGATCGAGGACAGCGTTCTCCATGATCTCCAGATCAATCCTCCCTTGAGCTTTACATCCTCAGGCATCTTCGCAATCAAGGGTTTGAAGGACCACTGTTGCAGTTCCACAAGCCCATCTTCTGGCTGATTGACATCAGATTATGTCCTTCAACCGTGTGGGAGCAAAAAAGAAATGTCTGTAGCCACCTGCCATTGTTTACTCACAAACCGGGCAGTCACCAGTGGGGGGATGCCCATCACAGTGCTTCGAGCTGATTTGCTGTTACCAACACATGAGGGGCCTTGCCCTCAGCAATATGCTGTAGCAAGGTGAATTCCGGCGAGTCGACACCCATTTAAACTCTGCAGTCTCTCAGCTTCGGCTTCAATTACTGCTGCTTCTTTCTCCAGTTCTTCTTTGTTATTAGTGCCGTCTGTAGACTCGTTGTTTGTGGAGGAGGAGAATATTCGATGTTTGATCATTCCTCGTTTTCGTTATGTTCTTCACTCTTCTCCCTCTAAATCACTTCTTTTAACCGCATTGTGACCCACCTTTGTACCTTCCATTGGGATTTTCATCAACTTTTGAACAAGGAACAGGAATCCAAATCCGGTCTCAAACGAAGTGATAACCAACTTACCGAGGCATGTACCTCTGTGCTTCTCTGACTCACAATGCCAAGGTGACCACTGCCTGCTGCATCACTGTTCTGAATCTTTGCAATCTGCATGGGCCGGGTTTCGACCTCCACTTCGATGGTCTCATCTGGCTGATGCTTATCAACCACTTGGCAATCCTCCGAGCCAGATCGTGGAAGACAGGACGGCAAAGGACAATGTCGACTCAGGAATTTGCCATACGGGCAGCGTTTGGTCCTCACAATCATCTTCTTCAGCAGAGGAATGACCTTGAAAAGATTATCCTGGATCCAAACACGCCTAAGAGACACACCTGAGGTCAAAAGAAGTTTGACACAGATCAAGAAGAACAGCGAGACAAAGAAGGGTACAGCACAGGCTGGCGGGATGTACAAATGATATGAAGTGGCTAGAAAGCATGCCATAGGTCCAAACATACATCTGTTAGGTGATAAACTCACAAATATTCGCATGAAACGGATGTACAGCAGTCCTTCATATAGTGAGTCTTAGTGACTCAACAACACAGGAAACAGCAGACACTCTGGAGAGGCCAACCAACCTTGTTTTTCCCTTTTTCTTTTTTGCTGCTTCAACTCTGAGGACGCGGTACTTCGATAGGCTGATGCATATTGTGAGTTGACGGAAACCCATTGACTTTGCGTTAGTGACCCTGTACTTGACAATTGCCCTTTAGGCTTTCTTCTATCCACACCACAAATGACTGACAGGAGCAACCACTTTCCATCTGACAAAGACATCTGAGTTTGTTTCTACTGCCCCTTCTTAACACCCCAAAACAGCGGCTAATTTCACCTCAGCTTGTTTCTTGAATGGATTCACACTGCAAGCTTTCCCCCCCTATTTGTTGGGCCTAACCAGGCCCGTGTGACACAGTGTGCAACACACTCCCCCCCTTAAAAGACCGAGCTACCTGCGAGGGCGAAGTTGTCTGTCCGATACCGGGTTGGGTTGGGTGGGACGAGCTTTGTCCTTGGCAAGTCTTCGGTTCTCGTAGTCGGAGAAGATGAGATGTGCAGATGCCTGTAAGTCTGTGCGGGAGATCCAACGGGTGTCATCTGGGTCACATTGCTTATAAGTGACTTGGTATTGCATTGGCTTGTTGCCAAACTTGTGGTGCCTGATGAAACGGTCAACTTCCTGATGGTCGTCCATAGAGGGCGGATCGTGTGATCGTCTGCCCGGGAACTCGTTTGCGGATGGTGGCGTGTAGATGGCCAGATTCGACGCATGGAAGACCGGGTGCACACGGAGGTGCGGTGGGATGGCAATCACAAAGGAAGGACCTGCAGGGTCGTCGCCTGCTGCAGAGGTTACCTTCCATGGTCCAAACCATTTCGGGAGGAGTTTGCGTGACGTCCTGCTCGAGCGCGAATTCCTCAGCGAGGACCCAAACAAGGTCTCCCTCGTGGAAAGGACATGGGAGTCGACGTCGGTTGGCTTGCTGCTGCATGCGGATTTGAGCCTTTTGCATGTTCGCGCGGGCTTTGATCAGCAAGTCCCGGTACTTCCGGACGGAAGCGGGAGAGCAAGCGACGTCTATGTCGGCGGCCCGTGGTAGAAGAAGATCGGCGAAGATTCGGGCCTTCTCTCCACCGTGAGGTAACTCAAATGGAGTGACGCAGATCACCGGATGCACCGAAGTGTTATAGGCGAACTCGATGTCGGGACGCCGGTCAACCCAGTCCTTCTGGTCGGGACGGATGAGTGTACGCAACATCATTTGAGCGGTTTGATGCGCTCGTTCCGACTGTCCATCCGTCTGCGGGTGCCGTGCGGAACTCGGCTTCAAAGTCGAACCGGACTCTGTCATGAGGGAAGTCCAAAAGGCAGACATGAAGCGAGTGTCTCTGTCGCTCACAATATCTTTCGGAACACCATGGGCGGTAATCCAGCCGGAGTGCAAGAGTCGGGCGAGCTCGGGGGCTGTAGCGCGATACTTGCATGGAAGAAAACGAGCATACTTGCTCAAACGGTCAACGACCGTGAGAATGTCGTCATGACCGAGGCGATCGCGGGGGAACGGGCCTGTAACATCCATAGCAATGGAGAGGCGAGGTGCCCGAGGAATCGGCATCGGTTTCAGTTCGCCATAAGGGACCGTAGATCGACCTTTGTTACGATGGCAAACTGCGCATGACTCAATGTACCTTGTGACGTCATGAAGAACGTCGGACCAGTGAAAAAGTTGGCGGAGGCGAGCCAATGTGCGGGTCACGCCAAGGTGTGTCGAAAGTCGTGTGTCGTGGAATTCGCCGAGAAGACGAGTCCGTAAGATGCGGTCTTGGGGCACCACTAACAAGTCCTTCCCTCTCGTGTGGAGAAGTAGGAACCCATCGGAGATACGATAATGACCAGACGGCGGGTGATCCGATGATAGGTCCGCATAAAGCGTAGAGTACGTCGGATTGGACTTGTAGCCGTTGACGAAATGCTGTTGCATATCGTCGTTGAGGTTGAACGTCGTGGTCACAAGGGCACAAAGATCGGGCCGTCGTGAGAGGGCGTCCGCTGCTCGATTGGCGGGACCAGGAATGTGGCACGGCTCAAAGTCCAACTGGTTGATGTAATACATCCATCGACCAATCGTGCTAGTGACTGTGTCCTACGTTTTGTAGAAGGTCAACGGATTGTTGTCCGTGTTCCAACTAGAACGCCGACGACCGAGAAGAAAGTGGCGCCACCGTTTGAGAACAGTGACGAACGCGAGTAGCTCTTTCTTCCTAGCGTCGTCGAGAGTGTTGATGGGAGGCACTTTTTGGGAGAAGTACTCGACCGGGTTCCAACCATCCGTGTGGCATTGTTCCAATACCGCACCAATACCGTACCCGGAAGCATCCATAGTCACTTGGGTGGGTAGGGTGGGATCAAAGATATGGAGGGCCGGTGCTTCGTGCATTGCCGGTTTCAACGTATTGAACGCGCCACGAGCTGCGTCGTCGAACTCGAATGGTACCTTCGGGGACTGAAGTCTCGACAAAGGGGGTGCCACTTTGGAGGAAGACTCGATGAAGCGCTGATAGTATCCAGCCAAACCCATGAAAGAGTGTACGTCCGTCGTGCAACGGGGTTCCGGCCAATCCACGATGGCTTGGATCTTGTCCGCTAAGGGACGAATGCCTTTCGGCGTCACATAATGGCCCAAGTACTCAACCTCTTGTTTGGCGAATTCGCACTTGTCGCTGTTTGCTTTGTACTTGGCTGCTCGCAAACGATCCAACACCACACGAAGGTGTACGAGGTGCTCGTCAAGCGTCCTACTATAGACCAAGATATCATCGAGGTAGATGAGGACGGAACGATCGAGCAAGTCTCGGAACTCCGTTGTCATGGCTGCTTGGAAGGTTGTCGGGGCATTGGTGAGTCCAAATGGCATCACGACCCACTCAAAATGCCCGTACTGCGTTTTGAAAGCGGTCTTGTACCGATCTTGAGGCTGGATTTCAATCTGGTGGTAACCCGACTTCAAGTCCAACTTCGAGAAGTACGTCGCGCCGCCCAACCGCTCGAGGAGATCATCAATCTGAGGGAGAGGGCCGGCATTCTTAACGGTTTGTGCGTTAAGTTTTCGATAGTCGATGCACAGCCGTAGGTCCTTGTTTTTCTTCCGGACAAAGAGAACCGGTGCACCGTATGGCGAACAACTAGGGTGAATCCAGCCCTTGTCGAGAAGGTCATCGAGTTGTGCGCAAAGCACCTCGAGTTCCTCTTCGCTCATGCGGTAAATGCATCCACGCGGAGGGACGGCACCAGCCTCGAGAGTGATCCCGTGATGTATGGGCCGATCCGGAACCGTTCCGGTGGGAGCCTCGAAGATGTCTCCATACCCGTCCAAGAGGTGAGTAATGCGTGGGTCCGGCGGTGACGCGGCTGGTCCGTCCGGCGAGGGGAGAGCATGTAAAAACACAAGACCCATCTCCTCTACGTCGTTCCGAGCTATAGCGTCGCGAATTCTCGCAACGGAAACCACGTGACAAGCAATCGAAGTATGAGGGGTCGCGACCGTACATGGGACTAACACTCCGTTCCGATCACGGACGTGAAAGGTTCGGTCATGAAAGTTCACCGGATGATCGGCGCTACGCAACCAAGACATGCCTAAAATCATGTCAAACTTGGTGTCGAGGATGTCAAAAGACACCGGCTCGCACGCAAGGGGCGCAAAGTATACCGGGACACCGTCAATGCATCGGGCAATCGACTTTTGCGTGTGGCCGTCCGTGAGTGTCACTTGCGTAGGTTGCGTCTTCCTTCGAACGCGCGGGCCATAAAGGCTTGGCTCATGAAATTGCGAGATGCTCCGCAATCAATCAAGGCATTGCAAGTTGCCTTTCCGGTTTGAATGCGGATATAGAGCAAAGGCGCGTCGGTTTCGTCCTACCTTTGGGTGGCATACTCGCGGTCAATCTTCGCGAGATAGGAGCGGAGATCCGTCGTCCGCCAACGGAGCGGGGATTGCAGCGTGCAAGTCGGAGCGTAGATTTGCCATCAAGGCGTTACAATGCGGCCTTGGCAAGGTTCCGGTTGAGGGTAGAGGCATCCAAGCGAAGTCCTCTCTCGTGAGCGGGTCAAGCTCCTCAAGTCTTGACCACGCCGTCGAGTCCTCGGAAAACAGTGGCGAGATGACCGGTTTGCTTGCCGACGGTGTACAGGCTGCGCATACGCTATCTAAGTGCACGTGGCTAGGCTGGTCTAATGGTGGCACCAGCTGGGGGGCATAATCCTCGTACGTAGCACGAGAATCGGCGACTAACGCATGCTCCCCGGTAGTGATATCGGTTGCTAGCAAGGCAACCGGTTCCGGCGGAGTGAGGAGAGGCGTCGCCCCTCTCCTTGCGTAGCTCAGTTTCCCGAATTAGCTGGACGGGGTACGCGTGCCTTGCCCTTGTCCGAGCATTGTGCGGTAGTGTGGTTTACACTATTGCACCATAGGCAATATCCGTACCGTTGACGCAGGTCAAATACTTCCTTGGTTATGTTGTATGTCGTCCATGGTTGCTG